CCATCAGCTCCCTACCCCTCCTCTTGATCACTGCTCTGGATTTTAGCTCATTTCCCCCAGGAATGGTCCTTCCCACCGCCCCAGTCTAGGACAAAGGACAGTAGAGACCCCGTATATTTACAGGAGGCAAAATCCAAGAAGAGTCAGTAACAAGTCTCACAGCTTCAGAGGTCTCTATACAAGTTTACTAAGCATGGGTGATAAGCAAAAAGAGCCTGCTGTCTTAGGAAAATAGGACCCTGGGGCAGCTAGGCGTGCAGTGGATAGAGCACCGGCCCAGGAGTTAGGAGGACCTAAGTTCAAATCCCGCCTCAGACACTTGACTCTGACTACCTGTGTGATCCTGGGCAAGTCACTTAACCCCACTGCCTAGCCAAAAAAAAAAAAATAGGACCCAAAGAGAGAGAAATTATATTCTGGACCTGATTGTCAGCAACAAGGAATTAACATTTTGGAGGGGAAGGGAGAAAAGGAAGGTTGTGATGAAATGTGTATTAATCTACCTAATGGCTCTGAGTTTTAGGTCCTACATCACAAGGGGCCAAAAGGGAGTCTCTTAACAGAGACTGAGTCACCTAACTATGTGGAAAAGTTGTGGTTTCCTTTAGCGCTGGTCATGACAGATTTATTTCATTACTGGAAGGGTGAATCAGGAAACGAAACAGACAGTTTGCGGAGGTTTCTGCAAAGCATTTATTTTTGAGGGAAAGATAGAAAAACAGTGGACACTGTTTAGGCAGATTTGAAACTAGCTGAGTGGTCAGATCCAAAAGGAGTAGTTATTAATGAATGATTCCACGTCAACTGGGAAGAGTGTCTCAAAGAGGTAATATTAAATGAGGCAATACTACATAATGTAATGTAATGGGTTTTTTTTGTTTGTTTCTCTTTTTTATTCTTGCTTTCAAAGAATGGATGGCTGGGAAAGGGAGGAAGGTAGAATATATTAGAAATGAAAGTGATATAAAAACAAGCTTAGTAAAGCATAGAAAATTGGAAAGGTGGGAAGGGGAAAGAATGAGAAGTCAGCAAATGTTTGTCAAGTACACACAAATACAAGCCTAAAAACACTCCTTGTCCTCAAGAAGCTTATATTCTCATGTGAAGAGATTTAAATGCCAAATAGAAGATTTTCTATTTGATCCTGGGTGTAGCATGGAGTTGCTGGGGTGGACTGAGTAGGAACAGGGTGCCAAAGTCAGACCCGAGCTTGAGGAAGATCAGAGACAGCCACCAGAAGGCTGTTGTGATGACAGCCAGCATCAGGGTGGCAGCTGGGTGAGTGGACGTGGGGGAGGTGTAGAAGACACATTGCTGAAAGGAGAGACGGTAGACTGGACACGTGGGCTGAGGTCAAGAGTGGGGCTGATGATGACTTTGAGGTTCTGAGCCTGAGTCACAGGGAAATCTGCTGCTGTTCTCAAAAGTAATAGGAAAATTGGGAAGAGGGGAAGGATTGGGAGTGGGGGAGGGGTGAAGATGAGCTTCTGTCTTGGTTCAAAATAATCACTTTTGAAGATGGTGGAGAAAAGGCAGGACTCACCTGAGCTGTCCCAAATTCTCCTCCAAACAGCTTTAAATAATGTCTCAAAACAAATTCGGGAGCAGCAGAACCCACAAAAAGATGGGGTGAAACAAATTTCCAGGCCAAGACTGGCAGGAAAGGTCTGTTGTATCTAGGTGAGAGTGGAGCGCAGTCTAACACGGTCTATCACAAGCTGTGCTAATGCAGACAAGGCCCCAGCAAACCGGCAGCAGGCCTTGGGGGTGACTGAATCAGGGGTGGCAGCAGCTGCTTCTGGATTTCTCCATCCACGGTAAGGGGGTTGGACAACTGGTCAGAAGGAGATTACAGGGGTCCCTTTGTTGGCTCTGGGGGCAGGACTCTGGTGCATTGCCCATACTTGGATCTGGGTTGCAGTCCCAGGGTGAGGAGGAGCATTAGCACACCAGAGCTTGTGGCTGCAGGGGAATGGGGACCACGGTCACAATTCCAAGGCAGAAAAGAGTAAACACACTTCTCTTTAGATCATACCACCTTGGAAGAACTGAAAACTTACAGAACCCCAGAACTAGCTCTGAGAACAGCAGCAAGAAGGGCCTGAAGCTTGGAACAGTGTTCTCTCCACCCTGGGAGCAGAGCCCAACTTTAACATAGAGTTAAAAGTCAAGAAATAGGCTGGAAAATGAACAAACAACAATAAAGAACCTGACCGTAGAAAGTTACTATGGTGACAAGGAAAATCAAAACACAAACTCAGAAGATAAAGTCAAAACTGCTCTATCCAAAGCCTCTAAGAAGAAAGTGAATTAGTCTCAGGCCCCAAAAAGAATTACTGGAAGGGCTCAAAAAGGGTTTTAAAAGTCAATGAAGAGAGGTAGATGAAAAATTGGGAAAAGAAACTAGAGTGATGCAAGAAAATAATGAAAAAAGGGTCAACAACTTGGTAAAGGAGGCACAAAAAATGCTGAAGAAAATAACACCTTAAAAAACAGAATAGGTCAAATGGTAAGAGGCATAAAAATCCACTGAAGAAAAGAACACCATAAAAAGTAGAATTGGCCAAATAAAAAGGAGATATGAAAGCTCACTGATGAAAATAATTCCTTAAAAATTGGAATTGGGCAAGTGGAAGCTAATGACTCCATGAGACATCAAGAAACAATAAAACAAAATCAAAAGAATGAAAAACTAGAAGAAAACATGAAATATATCATTGGAAAACAACTGACCTATAAAATAGATTGAGGAGAGATAATTTAAGAATTATTGGACCACCTGAAAGCCATAAAAAAAAAAGAACTGAGATATCAACCTTCAAGGAATTATTAAAGAAAACTGCCATGATATTCTAGAACCAGGGGGGCAAATAGAAATGGAAAACACGCACCAATCACCTACTGATAGAGATCCCAAAATGAAAACTCCCAGAAATATTATAGCCAATTTCCAGAGCTCCCAGGTGAAGGAGAAAATGCTGTAAGCAACCAGATGGAAACAGTTGAAATATTGTGGAACCACAGTCAGGATAACACAAGATTTAGTAGCTTCTGCATTAAAGGATTGAAGGGGGGAATATGATATTCTGGAGGACAAAGGAGCTAGGATTGTAACCAAAAATAACCTAACCAGCAAAACTGAGTATAATCCTTCAGAAGAAAAAAATGGATATTCAATGAAATATATGATTTTCAAGCATTCTTGATGAAAAGACCAGAGATAAATGGAAAATTTAACTTTCAAATACAAGAGTCAAGAGAAGCATAAAAAGGTAAATAGGAAAGAGAAATCATAAGGGATTCAATAAATTTAAATTGTTTATATTCCTCCATGGGAAGATGATACTTGTAACTCCTAAGAACTTTCTCATTATCAGGGCAGTTAAAAGGAGTATACATAGACAGAAGGCATGGATGTGAGTTGAATGTGATGAAATGGTAACTAAAAAATAAAATTAAGGGGTGAGAAAGAGGAATGGACTGGGAGAAGGGGAAAGGAAGAGGCAGAATGGGGTAAACTATCTCACATAAAAAGGCATGAAAGAGCTTTTACAGTGGAGGGGAAATGAAGGAAGTAGGAGAGAGTGCTTAAACCTTACTCTCATCAGAATTGGTTCAAAAAGGGAATAACATGTAGTTATATATATATATATATATATATATATATATATATATACCCAACACGTAGTTGGGTATAGACATCTATATTACCCCACAGGATGGTAGGAGGGGAAGGGGATAAGGGAAGGAGGGGTGATGGAAAGGAGGGATGATTTGGGGGGGTAGTTAGAGGCAAAATGCTTTTGAGGATGGACAAGGTGAAGAGAGAGAGAAAGAGTAGGATAAACGGGGAAACAAGATGGAGGGAAATACACAGTAATCATAACTGTGAAAAAATTTTACAGCAAGTTGCTCTGATGAACATCTCATTTCTCAAATATTTAGAGAACTGAGTCAAATTTATAAACATGCAAACCTTTCCCCAATTGATAAAGGGTAAAGGGTATGAACAGGCAGTTTTCAGATGAAGTATTCAAGGTTACCAGTAGTCATATTGCTCTAATTGCTCAAAACTTGCTCTAAATCACTATTGATTAGAGAAATGCAAATTAAAATAACTCTGAGGTACCACCCCACACTTACCAGACTGATTAATATGACAGAAAAGGAAAATGATAAATGTTGGAGTCAATATGGGAAAATTGAGCATTATTGGTGGAATTATAAACTGATTCAACCATTCTGGAGAGCAATTTGGAACTATGCCCAAATGGCTATAAAACCGTGCATATAGTCCAAAGAGATAAAAAATGTAAAAGAAAATGACCTATTTGTATACAAATATTAACAGTAGCTCTTTTAGCTGTGGCAAAGAATTGGAAATGGAGGGGATGCCTATCAATTGGGGAATATCTGAACAAGCTGTGGTACATCATTGTGATGGAATACAATTGTGCTGTAAGAAATAATGAGCAGGATGCTGTCACAAAAACCTGGGAATATTTACATGAACTGATGCAAAGTGATATGAGCAGAACCAGCAGAACATTGTACACAGTAACAGCAATATTGTTAACAATGATCTACTCTGAATAACAGCTATTCTCAGCGATACAATGACCTAAGACAATTCCGAAGGACTTATGATGAAAAATGCTGTCCACTTCCAGAGAAAAAACTGATGGAGTCTGGATGCAGACTGAAATATACTTTTTTGCTTCCTTTATTTTTCTTGTTCATTTTTTATCTGTGTTTTATTTCACCCCACGACCAATATCGAAATATGTTTTGCATGGCAGCACATATGTAACCTATAGCAAATTGCTTTACTTCTGAATGAGGGGGTAGGAGAGGGAGAGAATTTGGAATTCAAAAATTTTTTGAAAATGAATGTTAAAAATTGTTCTTACATTTAATAGGAGAAAAATAAAATATTAAATAAATATATATATATTTTTACAAAAAGTCCTGACACTCAGGAAGTGAAATGCAGAAAGGAATAAAAAAATGAAGTATAATAATCAACTTCACAAATACAAGATGGGAAAGACTTGGTTAGGATTTGTCAAAAACGATAACAACAACAAAACAAAACGAAAAAACCAAAACACCTCCCCAACAGAAAACACTCGAGGGATTTCAGAGGCCTGCAAGTTCCACATGAATCATAAGTATGAGGGGGCTACTGAAAGAACTTAATTCCTCCTTGGGCTGCACTGAGAGGGCACAGCTTCCAGGAAGATTGGGGTTACTCTGCACTGTCCAGGTCATGCCACTTTTGGTTACCAAATTTAAGGGAGGTAGCATTCCAAGACGGCAAAGGCTCAAGAACTATCTTCAACTATCTAAAGGGATGCCATGGCCAAGAAGGCAGAATGGATTGCAAAGAGGCAAAAGTCGGCTCAGGGTCGGGAAGAACACGCCAAGGTCAAGAGCTGTCCCAGAGTGGCATGGGAACTCCCATTGTTGACTCCCTGCCAATGTCTCCCCTCTCAGAGATCTTAGCCGCCATGCTCTGCACTGGGCACCTTCCTCCTCCTTAACGGCTACTTTAAGTGCTCCCTTAGAATATAAGCTTGTTGAGGGGAGGGACAGGAATCTTATTCTTTCTGCTTGTATTTGCATCCCTAGCATTTAGACCAGCACCTGGCACACAGTAAGCACTTAATAAATGCATATTGCCCGCCTCCCTTGAAAGGTAGGAGTTTTGGTCTAAATGGGCACACTCAAACAAAAGCTGAATGACTAGCTGTTGGAGACTACAGGGCTTTGGAAAGGTCCCTTATAAAGCAGAAATTTTATGGTTTTCTGCTGGGGTAGTCCTCTCCCAGAGCATCATGGAAGGTGCAGTGGGCCTTATTACCCAAAGCATCATGGGAGGTGTAGTTCTCCCTCTAGCATCTTTGGAAGCTTAGATCTCATGTGCTATGGCATCATGGGAAACGTAGTCCTCCCTCTTCCAAGCTCCATTTTGGAGGCGTGATGCCCATGGAAGGGGGATGGCCAATCCTAAACTCAGGGCAGGCCCATTAAGGGCCACCCAGCAGACCTGGTTCTAGAGTTCTGCCCCATCCATTATTGTTCCTTTCCTCCAGGCCCTGGCTCTCTAGATCTCCCACAGCCTCCTCTGGGCCCAGATCCCCTTTCCAGGGGCAGTGCCAAAGAGACGTGTTGGGGCATCCTGGCCTCTGAACTCCTCCCCCCCAAGCCTTTATCCAGTCCTGCCTTCACTACCCAGTCCGTTCATTAGTCAATCAGTCGGCTGATGCATGGCCTCCGACTTTGAAGGCCTGGGTCTCCTACAGGGCTAGGACTGGAGGCAGACGAGGGGGTTTAGACTCTACAATTAACACAAAACCTTAAATTAGGATGGGAGGGTGGGGGTGGGGAGCAGGATAGAGCTGGGTCAAGCCCCCCTTGGCAGGGGTCAAGTTCACAGTCAGCAGCAGGAGAGGCAGGCTGAGGGTAAGAGAGGTGGGGAAAAGCCTGGGTCCTGTTCCCTTCGATCGGGGACTGGCGTCTCGAGCCGCATTATTGCATTCACTGGTGAAGCAGCAGAAGGTTTGTGGCTGGGCCAGGTCGAAGAAGGCAGCAGCCAGATGGGGAGCCTGGCACCAGGCGGGGGCCACACAGCCTCGAACGGTGTAGCCGGGACCCCAGTGTTCTGTGGCAGGAGGAGGGGAAAAAGAGGGGCTCAGCCGGCAATCCTGACTCTGCCCTGGGTTCCTGCAGTGACCTTAGCTCCCTGGGATTCAAACCATTACCAGGTACCCTGTGCCTGGGGATGGAAATAGTGGGAGTATGTGTGTGTATGTGTGTATATGTGTGTATGTGTGTGTGTATGAGAATGAGTATGTGTATGAGTATATATATGGAGTGTACCTGAGTGTGGCTGTGTGCATGTGTACGTATATGATAGTGTATGTGTATGAGAGAGTATCTATGGGTATAATGGTATTGAGTATGGATATGGGAGTGTACCTGAGTGTGGCTGTGTGAGGGTGAGTATGTATGAAGAGTATGTGTGCGTGAGTATTTATCTATGTATGAGAGTGTGTGTATGGATATGAGGATGGATATGGGAGTATACCTAAGTGTGGCTGTGTATGTGAGTGTATGTGTGTGTGTTTGTGTGTGTGAGTGTGAGGGTAGGTATGATAATATGTGTGTGTGTGCATATGACAGTATGTGTGTGTGAGTGTGTATTTGTGTATGTATGTATGGATATGAGGATGGATGTGGGAGTGTACCTAAGTGTGGCTGTGTGAGTGTGTGTGTGTGTGTGTGTTGGGGGGCTCTCACTAGCCCCCATCACCCATCCCTCTCCAGGAGCTCCTTCCTTCACACAATACAGGGATTCTGCTGGACCAGGTTGCTGCTGCCGTCTTTTCTCAGCCTGAAGGTTTAGGATTCTGTTGGTCTTCAGGCCTCCCTTAGGGGGTCAAAGGATCCTGACCACTTAGGGGTCATCTGCTCCAGGTCCTCACTTTACTGGGGAGGCAGCTGAGGCACAGGGTCACACAGCTAGAAAATCTCAGAGGCAGGACCTGAACCCGGGTCTTCCCGAGGACAAGCCCAGTACGCTATCTGATGAACTAGGGGGCTCTAACTCTTCCTTTCGCTCTGGGAAATCTCAGCCCATAGGAAGTGTTGCCCTCCCTTTCTCTCATAAGAAGCTATTCCTCCTGCCATAGGAATTCCCAACTCAGTTTCCCCATCTTGTAATGAAAGGTTTGTGCTGGAGGATCTCTAAAGGCGCACCCTGCCCCTTAACCCTGTGTCCTTCACGTCCCCTTCCCCATGTCCAGGGATCCTTACTGTGGGTGCCGGTGGCTTCAAAGCACCGATTCATAGGACCCTGACAAGCCGTGATGGCCGTCTCCTCCGCGGAGCAGCCGTCGGTGCCGTTCCCCTCACAGCTGTGACACTGGAGGCCATTCAGGGGGTAGTCGGAGAGTTTTGTCACTGATGAGAGGAAGAAGAGCAGATGGGTCCTCGAGCCCCCCAGAAGCTAACTACCTGCGCCTCCCAGGGCCCGTCCCTTCCCTCCAGGCACTCACTGTTTTTACCCTGCAATGGCCCAGGCCAGCCTGACCTTCCTCCCTCCCCTTCCCTTCTCTCCTCCCTCCTTTTTTCCCCCCTCCCCTCCCCCTCCCCCATCCCTCCTTTCCCCCTCCCCCCTCCCCCTCCCTCCATCCGTCCTCCGTCCTCCCTTCTCCCCTTTCTCACTTGGGCCACGGATACACTGGCTATGGTTGCAGCATTTCAAGAAGAGAAAAGTGTCGTTGTTATGGAAGCCAACGGGGCCTGGGCAGTCCGGAAAATTCCCGCAGCCGCGCACATAGCGCTCGTCCAGGGGGCCCGCTATGGGAGGCCACATAGGGTGGATTAGTGATGGGCAGGACGCTGGGGAGGAGCAGTGATGGGGGACACTCAGGCAGGGAGAGTGGAGGAAAGGGTAATTAGGGCGGGGCTCACTGATGAGTATGGGAGGGGCAGGGGCTGCATTCACCTTCAAGGTTGCTTTGGGAAATCCGCTCTATGCACTGGTCGGTGGGCTCTGGGCAGCGAAGGGTCAGGGCCCGACCTCGTTCACAGCTTTGGTCAGAGGACGCACAGGACTGACACTCTAGGGTCCGAGCCCCAGGAAAAGTAGGGGAGGGACCTGAATTGGAGGGAAGGGAAGAAGGTAACTCTCCTGGCCCCAGGTTGGGGGTGGGGTGGGGAGAGAGAGAGAGACAGAGAGACAAAGACAGAGAGACAGAGACACACATACACAGAGAGAGACAGAGATACAGAGAAAGAGACACAGAGAGAGAGAGAGACAAAGACAGACAGACAGAGAGAGAGGAGTACAGAGACAGGTATGTGCACAGCTCCCCCCCCCTTACAGTGGGTGGCTCAGGACCTGGGAGCCTGCCCCTCCTAGCCTGCCCACACCCCAGCCCTGTTCATGATCTCTCTGGCCTCTGTTCCAAGGGTCCCCACCTGAGTTCTTTCCTGCTCCTCCCTTCTCATCTAGGGTCATCAATCCTCATTATTCAAGGACCAAGTCTCCCAGGAAATCATTCTCAACAGACCTCCCCTAACACCTGGCATCCCCCAACTGCAGCAAGGGAACTTTCTTAGTCCTGAATTTATGTTTTGTGACTACCCTGCCTGACTTCTCTACCCTAAGCTCTCTTCTAAGATCTAAGGTTCTAAGGTTCCCTCCCAGCTCTGCCATTCTATGTTCTAAGGTTCCTTCCAGCTTTGACTATCTATATTTTTTCTTCTCAGGTCCTCCCCAGAAGGCTTTCTAGGTTCTAAGCTCAGCTCTGACCACTTATATTCTGGTTTCTAAGGTCCCTCCCATAGGCCTACCATTCCACGTTCTATGGTCCCTCCCAGCTCTGACAGTCTCCAGGTTCCCTTCCAGCTGTGACAATCCTGGTTCTGTATAACACGATCCCTCCTAGCTCTGACTCCTCCCTCCTGAATGGCTCAGAGCCGGTTGGCTCCCACTCACGGGGGTCTGGGTGATTGCAGAGGTCAAAGTCGCACACGGTCTCCTTCAGTATGATTATCTCCTGGTTCGTGCGGTAGGACATGGAGCTGTTGTCCTTCCCGGTCACAGCACAGCCCCTCAGCACCACCTCCAGCTCCTGGCCTCCTGGGGGGACAATATGGGCAGGGGGCGCCTAAGCCGGGCTGGGCCTCTTCAGCCTCCCTGGAGCCCAGGCTCCTCCTGGCAGCCAGCCCAGAGGACACTGGAATTTAGCCACAAGGCCTTCCATGCTTCGCTTACTTCTCTGATTGGAAGCTTCATGAGGGTAGGCCCTGTGGCAAGTACAGTGTTCTGCACTCAGTAGGTGTTTAATAAATAGCTGTAGGATAATAATAATAATAGCTAGCATTTATATCGCACTTTACTAATATCTCATTTGATCCTCACAACTCTGAGAGGTAGGTGTTATTATTCCCACTTTATAGATGAGGAAACTGAGGCACGGAGAGGTTCAGTCAGGGTCACACAGCTAGGAACTGTCTGAGGCCATATTTGACTGGTCATGCTGATTCCAGGTCCTGTGCTCCATCCACTGTACCACCAGATGAATGAATGTCTCATCCTCTTACTAGACACAAGGGCAGGGGCATATGTCACTAATTTTAGTGTCTTCCTCAGAGCTGAGCACAAGTCTCAGCCCACAGCAGGGCTTAATAAATGTCTGTGGATTGGATGAATAAATAAATGTTCTCTCTGGGCTGGGGTGGTGTTCTATCTAGAATCCATATCTCTCCCAGTCCTGAGCATGGGCTCTGTCCACAGAAGAATCACTTAATAAATATTTTAAAAATAAATTTAAATAAATATTACTCACCAAACCCATTCATTGGGAAGGAAAGAAGCACATGTATGTATATATGGGTTAGAGGTGGGAACTGAGGCCCCAAGATGGAAGGTTGTAAAATGGGTCTTAGCTCACGTCTCCCAAGCACTCATTCAGGGCAGCTACATCATTGGGCCATTGTGGGGCATCACCTCTGACCTTCACCCAGCTTTGACGGGAACTCACTAACTGCCCATTAAAGGCAGGTGAGCAGGGAGAATAAAGGCTTCCCAAAGGAAAACAAGACAAGATCAGAACAAAGAAGGAGAAGGCTTTGAAGACGTAAAGGGGAATCCTGACTTGTGCCAGGAAGGTAGGATGATATGACAGAAGAAAGGGAAGGGCAAATGGACTCTTGGAGTCATGTCATGAGTGGGAAGCTTTTCTTCTACAGGGCAGAGATGAGATCTCCGTGGAAAAGCGGCTTCTCGGGTTTCTAGGAAAGGAGATGTTCATCCCTAGGGTGAGTGAGGAGATGAAAGACAGGAAGAAGAGGGGGGAAAGAATGGTGGTTGGTGCTTCCTGGTTTTTTTTCCCTTGGTTTTTCCCTTCTGAGAATCTTGCTAGGGGTGCTAATATTCAGAATGAGCTGATGTAGGTAAGGAAGGAGGCTCTGTGTGTGTGTGTGTGTGTGTGTGTGTGGGTGGGTGGGTGCTAAGCATTCTGGGAAGATTTCTGTGAAGGGAACCAGAAGAACAATTAATAAATAACAACACGGTAAGAACCAAAGAACTTTGAAAGACTTCCGAACTCCGATCAATACAACGAGAAACCATGGCTCCAGAGGGCTGGTGATGAAGGTGACACCCACCTCCTAACAGAGAGGGTATGGGTTCAAGATTTGGAAAAGGGACATACATTTTTGGGGCATGGACAATATAGGAATTTGTTTTGCTAGACCATTAATATTTGTTATAAGGATTTTCTTTTTTTTTTAATTTCAGGGGAGAGTAGGAAGGGGAGAAAATAAATTCTTGTTCATTGAAAAATAGAATAAAATGGAGAGGAAAAACAATATGGCACGGAAAGACAGATATTAAAGAATGAATAGGAGGGCCACTGTCCAGGATGGATGGGGTCATGACAATTAACAACAGAACGCAAGTAACGCTGCCCAATTTGGATTTTGCCTGTTTTCTTTGTCAAGGAACACCCCTTCTGGACTATGAAGAACAGACTGAAAATGAAAGTTTTACCCAAGAAAAGTAAGGGGAAAGGAAAAGAGAAACTAGCTACCCTTGAGGAAGACAAATTCCCTGGCTGAGATGAGCTATAGCCTCAGGTATTGAACAGGCCGGGGATAGGTGGGATGGCCAAGGGACTCACTGCCAGGGATCTTTATCTATCTATCTATCTATCTATCTATCTATCTATCTCTATCTATCTATCTATCTATCTATCTATCTATCCATTCATTCATTTGTTTGTTTACTTATTTATTCAATTGGGGTTGTGACTTGCCTAGGGTCACACAGCTAGTAAGTGTCAAGTGTTTGGACTGAGGCTGGATTTGAACTCAGGTCCTCCTGACTTTAGGGCTGGCGCTCTATCCACTGCACCACCTAGCTGCCCCATGCTAGGGACCTTTAAAAGATAATGGACAACAATGCCGTGTCCCAGGCTTGCAGAAGAGCAGAAGTCATCCCAAGATTCTGAAAAACTGGAATCTGAAAACTGTAGGCCCATGACCTTGACTCTGATTCTAGAGCATACAATGAAAGAGGGGGTTAGGAAAAAATTAGAAAAAGCGGTGATCACGGGGTGGTTTCCATGTGACTGGGAAATCATTTGAGGCTGACTCGATTGTCTTTTTTGACAGGATTACTAAACTGAGAGATCAAAGGAATGCGTTAAGTAGTGCTCACCTAGATTTTTAGCAAAATGCTTGACACAGTAACTCTGGACATGGATAAAACGTTTACTAAATGGACTGTGTTAAGCTCTAGGGATACAAATAGAAAAATGAGCTAGCTCCTGCTCTCACAGAGCTCACCTCCTAATGGGGGAGAAAATTATGGAGGAGGGCTTGTACTCCATGTGTGGTTCAAGGCAGATGGCAAAGTGAGATTGTACTTAGAGAAGTAGGAGGGCAGATGGCAAGGCCCAGAGGAGCCTGGGGAGCAGTGGCAAGGCAGATGGTACCCTGTCAAGAAGATAGTGGGCCCAAGGGTTAGAGTGAAGTGGGGCTCTGGGAAACTGGGCAGAGGTGGGCATGTGGGAGGTGTCCTCTGATCTGTTGGGAACTGGGAAGCAAGTCAATAAGGAGGGAACTCTCCTTAGAGGTGGCTGGTCTATCAGAAAGATATGGACGAGATGAATTGGAACCTATTAAAATGGCTAGTCCCATAAAGAGAATGAGGTAGGCAGAGGTTGAGTGACTTGTCTAAGGTCACACAGCTAGGAAGGAGCTGAGGGAGGATTTGAACTCCAGACTCCAGGCCTGGTGCTTCATCCACTGCCCAAACTTAGCTGCCTCAATGATAGTCAGGATCTCCAATGACCTAGATAGTCTGTGTTGATATGGTGGACAGAGTAGTAGATATGGCATCAGAAGAAGTGGGTTTGGATTCTCGCTCTTCTGTCTACTAACAGTGAAATTTTGGCCAAGTCACTTCCCAATCTGGGCCTCAGTTTCTTAATCTTTCAAATGAGGAGGGTGACCTCTGAGATCCCTAAATCCATGAGTCCATGGATACCGGGCCTAACTCTACAGCATTTGGCAAAGACAGATGTAAAGATTATACATGGAGACAGAAAAATCAACTACGTCTAAGTTGGAGGGAGCTTGGTCAGACAGGCTTTTGTTTGCCAAACATTTGGGGGGTTTACTGGACTGCCAGGGCAAGATGAGTCATTAGTGTGATGTGGCAGCCACAAACGCCAAAGATAATGGGTTGGAGAGGCCTGGCTTCCAGAAAGAGGGAGGTGATGGTCCCACCCTTAATGAGGACCACATTTTGGGTATTGTGTCCAGCTCTGAGCACGACAATTTAAGAAGGACATTGGAAAGTGGCCAGTGGAGAGCGACAGGATGGTGAAGGACTGTTGAGTCCCTGACATAGGAGGATCAGATGGGACTGTGAGAATTGATGGACCTGGGGATGTTTAACCTGCAAAGAGAAGACTCGGTCGAGTATTTGAAGGCTTGTCATGTGGAAGAGGGATTAGGTTTGTTCTGTCTGGCCCGAAATGGCAGGACTAGGAGAGAGACTTTAGTCCCCTATGGAAAAAACCTTCTAACTAGGCATTCCTTGGCAGAATGGTCTGCTTCTGGGAGCAATAATTCAACAAGCATTTATTAAGTACCCACTATATGTAAGGCACTGTGCCAAGTGCTCAAGATGCAAAGAAAGGCAAAAAAAAAAAAAAGAACAAAACTCAGTCTCTGCCTTGAGGAGCTCACAGTCTAATGGGAGAAAACAGCATACAAATAACCATATACATACAAGATATTTAGAGTGTAAATGGAAGGTAGCCTCAGAGGGAAGGGATGGGGTGGGAGGATAAGAGACCAAGAAAGATAGGATGTGAGCTGAGTCTTGAAGGAAGCCAGGAAGCCGGAGGGAGGAGGCAGAGCATTTCCAGGCATGGAGGACAGCCATAGGAAAGTCTGGAGAAGGAATGGCTTGTTTGAAGAACAGCAGGGAAGCCAGGGTCACTGGATTGTAGCGTATGTGGTGGGGGAATAAGGTGTAGGAAGAGAGGAAAGACAGGAAGGTGCCAGGGTTATTATTATTTTTATTATTATGTAAATAGAGGTTAAGTGACCTATCCAGGGCCACATAGCCAGTGTCTGAGGCTGGTTATGATCTCAGGTCTTCCCGACCCCAAGTCCAAAGCTGTATTCTAGAAAGGTCAGAGAAACCCTAAGCTGGGAAACTCAGTGAGGAAGGAATCTGGAAAGGAGAAAGAGAAGAGGAAGAGAAACATTCCAGGACATCATCAGGAGTAGAGGGAGAAGGGGAGAAGCAGAGAAAGACCCAGAGTCCAGAAGATTATGGGGGAAGGAGGTTGGGATGACCTAGATGTTTTATCAGGGATTTTTTTTTTTCAGAGTGAGTCCTTCCAATTTTTGAGATCCTGTGAGGCAAAGTTAACTCCAGGACTGATGTCAAGGTTTGGTTGATTGGAAAGAAGGACTTAGTATGACTCTGGAAGTTTATGACTTTTTGAAAAGGAGCCAAATAGATAAAAAAATGAGGCAGGTAGCACTGTATATTAAGACCTTTTTTTTTTTACATGAGGAAATCTAGGGACCAGGGGGAAGGCAAGATGGAGAACTTTAGAATGGAGATTTAAGAGGCTGAAACAGAAATCAGAAGTGATTCGGTCAGATAGAGACCATCAGGATAGAAGGGAGAAATAGATGAGAAGTTTGGGAAGTAGCCTGCTAGCCTCCCATGGAGGACTGATGCATGAATTAGAGGGGGTAGAAATCACGGGCACCTTCGAAATTGGCTGAACTCTGGGCTTGGGGATACTCTTCCTCCTTATCTCTGCCTCTCAAAATCCCTCAGTGGCCTCAAAGGCTGCTTCCTACAGGAAGCCTCCCCTGCTCCTTCCCCTTGTTAGTGTTTTCCCTGAACCCCTGAAATTACTTTGGATTTCGTTTTTTCATCTGTGTACATGCTATTTGGAGCTGAGGACGCTAGGTGGCACAATGGATGAGTGCTGGCACAAGTCAGGAAGACCTGTGGAAGACATATTCCAGCTGTGTGTGTAATCTTGGGCAAGTCACTTAACATCTCTGTGCCTCATTTTCTCATCTGTAAAATGGGTCTAATAATAGCACCAGCCTCCCAAGATTGTTGAGAGAATCAAGTGAGATATCTGTAAAGTGCTTTGCAAGCCTTAAAAGTGAATTCATAGCTAGTGAGTGATGGGTTGGTCGACCCCTTTCTCTGAACTTCAGAGACTTAATGGTCTTCTAGCTCAAAGCTGTAATGATGGCCAGTTTACAAACAGGCATTTACAGACCAAAGGGAGAAATCCAGTAGAATGGGAAAGACAGTAAATGAAGATAAGAAAATCAATGCTGGAGCCAGGTTGCAGAGAAGAGGGCAGGCTCAAGGCACAGGTGTGAAAAGATCAGTGTAGGCAGGGAACCATGCCAATTTCTGAGATAAGTCAGACAACTGGAGTGCCAAGAATTGGGTTCCAATATCTAGCAAAAACCTTTCCCTTGAGGCCTCAGATTTCCCATCTATAAGGTGAAAGGTGGAAGGGATGATATCTAAGGCCTTCCAAGGTCCACATTCTAGGATTTTTTTTTAGGCAATTGGGGTTGTGACTTGCCCAGGGTCACACAGCTACTAAGCGTCAACTGGTCTGAGTCCGCATTTGAACTCAGGTCCTCCTGACTTCAGGGCCGGTGCTCTATCCACTGTGCCACCTACCTGCCCCCCGAATTTTTTTTTAAAGGGCCCTGGGCAGCATGAGCTCCAGAGGAGATGCAGAGCATTTAGGGTGAGTTAAAGCCTCTTCTCTAACCTCAGAGAGATTCCAAGTCTGGCACTTAGCTGCAAGTTACTAAAAGTCGACCTTTTAGTGGTTCCCTCTTGTCACAAAATGAAGCCTACAGGCTGGTCCAAACTGAGCTGGTCCTCAGCATGCTCCCCCCCTTCCGCCCCACTTCGTATTTTCATCTCCTCTGGGCTTTGCCGGATTCTGCGTTCAAGGCCTCTGACGTTCTGCCTCTGTTTCTAAGTGGCTGTGTCACCTTGGGCAGGTTCTCGGAGCCCCAAAGATATGCTAAGGGACCTGGGAGGGTTTCTCAGTTTCACAGAGTGTCAAATGGAGGAACTGGATTCGACGATCTACGCACACATTTTCTCCGCTTCACAGGGACCTTCTAGAGACAAGTGCCTGCCCTCCCCATCCCCCTCGAGGGAAGGAAAGGGTCAGTTTGGCACGCGTCCCGGCTCTCACCTCTCCAGCGGTTGTAGTATACGGTGGTTCGGCACAGCTCCTGCCCCGGGAGGCACGTCTCGATCGTGCAGTCCCCACGGCTTTCGCAATGGTGACAGCTCAAGCCCGAGGAAACTGGGGAGAGAAGAGGGCGAGGTCGCTGAGGGAGGTACTCGGGTGTCCCCCGGCTCCCTGGCTGGTCTCCGCCACTCGCTAAGTGTCGAATTCAGTCTCCGCCCCCACATTCCATTGCCCCCACCCTCCGATGTTGTCCCTGCAGCTCTGTGCCCCTCCGGAGCTTTGTCCCCGCCTCCCTCGAGGTCACCCCCCCCAATCTTCGGCTCCCTATCCCTGCCCTCTAGCTGTCCCCGCCCCCCCCAGGTGCCATCCCTGCTCCTTCGCGTGGCTTCTCACCTGAGTTCTATCCCTGCTCCGAGCTCAGCCCCTCACCCGAGCACCAGCTTCTCCCAGACCCACCGCACCTGTATTCTAGACCCATCCCTACAGGCGCCTATCCCAGCTCCTCGTTCCCCCCAGCCCGCTTCCTATCCTGCGCCCTCCCGACCCCCACCCCTCGGCCCACAGTGTTTTCTCCCTGGCCATTCTTCCTCCCCAGCACTGGGAGACCCCCTCTAGCTTTACTCATTCCTCCAGCCGCGTTTCCCTCCGGTTACTCATTCCCCTTCACCCCCCCGCCCTCCGGTGGTGCTTCCTTCCCTCACTTCCCCCAGCTTGACTAAGTTCCTCTTTGTCAGGTTTCCCAACTTCAAATCTGACTTCAAAATGAGCTGGAGGAAATGGTGGCGGAGTGGTTACCCCTTCTGAAATGAAAGAACAAGCTTTCTGTCCTTTCCTAGGCTCTCGGACCCCTCTCGGACCCCTCACGGACCCCTCGCGTCTCCAGCTCTCTCGGTGACTGTCTCTTCCCCACCACATCCGTCCGTTCTGGCCTCTTCCTATTCCCATTCTCCACCTCTCCCTGTAGTCATACTTGTTTCTCCGAGTCTGGCAGAATCTATCCGAGCCAGAAAGACAACCAACGCTTTCCTCGGCCACTCACTTCTCTCTCCCGGCCTCAGTTTCCTCATCTGTAAAATAAGGGGGTTGGACTAGATGGTCTCTGCTGGCCCTTACAACCCCAGATCTAAGATCCTATGAGACCCTGAATGAGGGAATGCTTATCCCCGAGTGTCTGCCTCTGCTTGCCTCTCCTCTCTTTCTCTCCCTGTTCCCCTCTTTTTCTTTCTTCATATGCCTCTTAGTTTCTGCCTCTAGGGCCTTCCTCGGAAGAAGAATGGGAAGAAGGCTATTTTTTCTCCCTGCCTTACTTTGCCACTTTCTCCCAAACTCCAGAATCCCCTTCTCAGACTCCTCTGAGCTCCCTACCTTGAGCGTGGGCAGCAGCCAGCAACAGGAGACTCAGGGTCAGCGCCCTCATGTCTAGTAAACTGTAATCTCTTCTGTCTCTCTACACCGGGACTGAGCCAGGGATGATTTGTTTCCACCCTTTAAGGGAGGTTTCGACATTACTCCGTTGGGGCCAACTCCTCCCTGAGGCCCCAGGAACTCCCCCTCCCCGCCTCCCGTGGCTCATTCATTAGCTCTCTGATGTGTCTGTCCCTATAGCTTCATCAGTCTGTCTTTACCTTTCTGTCTCAGTCTTTCTCTTTCCATCTATCTCAGACTATCTCTGTCTCTTTGTGTCTCTCTCTCTATCACTCAGTGTCTCTATGTCTGCCTAGATTTCTTTCCTCATCTTTTAGCCTGTGTTTTTTGCTTCCTGTATTCTTTCTCTGTCTCTGCCTCCACTTCTGCCTGTCTTTCCCTGTATTTCTTTTACTGTACATCAATCTTTCTTTTTTACTATATGTCACTCCGTGTTGGCTTTCCTTATGTATCAGTCTGCTCCATCTTAAGCTCCACATCTCTCTCATTGTTTCCCAGTCTATCTTCTTCTTCTTCTTCTTCTTCTTCTTCTTCTTCTTCTTCTTCTTCTTCTTCTTCTCTCTCTCTCTCTCTCTCTCTCTCTCTCTCTCTCTCTCTCTCTCTCTCTCTCTCTCTCTCTCTCTCATCTCCTTGTCTTTCTCTCCATGTCTCTCAATCTAACTTACCATTTTAAATCTGTTTCTATCTTTTTTAGGCAGCTAGGTAGTTCAGTGAATGGATAGAGTGTTGGGCCTGGAATCAGGAAGACCTGAATTCAAATCTAGCCTCACACACTTCCTAGCTGTGTGACGCTGTGTGGGCAAGTCAATTAATTTCTGCTTGCCTCGGTTTTTATCAACTGTAAAATGGGCATAATAAAAGCACCTATTCTGAACCTTGAAGATAGGTGACAGGATTAAGTAAGATAACATTTGCAAATATTTGCAGTGTCTGGCACAATATAGGTGTTTATTCCCTTCTTCCTCCCTTCCCTACGGGGAATGTTATCTATGTACCTCAGTTTGTCTCTCCTTATTTCTCAGTGTTGCTGCAATTTGTTTGCTTTTTCTTTCCATATTTCCCCCATCAGTCTCTCAGTCTGTCCCTCAGTCTATTTCCCCTGTGTCTTTCTTCCTCTTCACGTCTCTGTCTCTCCCCAGGTCTCTCCATCTGTCTCCACTTGTATGTCTGTTTTTCAGCCTCTATCTCTCCATCATGAAAATTGTGACGAGCCCTGGACCTACAGTCACACACACTGAGTCAGAAACAGCACCAAGTGGCCCCCTCAGCCAGTGTGAAGGCCCCAGGCTGCCAATACTGGATGGGTGACTGAGTAACTCACACTGGGCTGGGCCAGCTCCACCCTAGCCACTTAGAAGATGCAGATTCCTAGCCCTAAGAATCTTTGCACCTGATAGGATAGCCCTTAAGAAAAAGAGAAATTTACAGGGAGAAGCTGACATGGGGGAAAGAGGAATGGATGTAAGGAGCTACATCCTGGAGGTGAGGCTCTGTCCTTATGTGGATGGGTATCAGGGAGGGTGTGGTACTACAGGCTGAGTCAGGGCTCTGCCTTTCTGAGTTTCCCCCCAGGAAGTGACCTCAGCTTTGGCTATTCCAGGCCAGGCATGTGTCACCCAGACCCTGTCCTCAATCTCCAAATCTCTCCTCCCGTACAGCCCACTCCCCACAGCTGCTCTTCCACTCAGGACAGAGAGACATAAGACAGAGCCAGACTGTGACTGACACATGGAAAAAGGCCAAGAAATAGAGGCACGTACCTGTCCGTAACCCTCTCGGTCTCTGTGCCTTGGCATGGGGGGAAATCTATGTCTGGGATTCCCTCCCTGCTCACTTCTGACTCACAGCAATTCTTGGCTTCCTTTGAAACACCTATCATATACCTTTTTCTTCAGCAGGCTCTTCCTAATCCCCCTTCCAGGTGGTAGCACTTTTTCTTCCCACCCCAAATTAGTTTTGATTCACTTGTAGGAATCCTAGAGATAGAGCCGGAAGGGACCTCAGAAGCCAGGTAGGCCAAACCTCCTCATTTCATCAATGAGGAAAACTGAGGTTTGAGGATGTCAAGTGACTTTTCCAGGGTCATGAAGGACAACACGGGAGGCAGGATTTGTATCCAAGTCCTTTGTCTCTAGAGTCAGCTGACTTTCCGCTCTATCTCCCATCTTCACTTGTAGCTCTCCTCTTCCTTACCATGCCCAATCAGCTGTAAAGTCTGATTGCTATCTCTTTTAATTACACCTCTCGAATTTGGTCCCTTATCTTCCTTCTCTTGCCAGTGACAACGTAATTACCTCTCACCTGTACTATTGTAATCAGACTCCTAATTAATTGGTTCCTTTATTCCAGCCTTTCCCCTCCTTCACTCAGCTACAGAAATCATCTTATTAAGATACAGATTTGGTAGCGTTACCACTCCCTTTCTCAAAACCCTTTGGGGGCTCCCTAGGAGTGTCTGGGACTTCTCTGCCTGGCGTTTAGGGACCCTGACAATCTGCATGTAACCCACCAGGCTTTGGGTCCCGTCCACTCCCCTTTACATCCTTGGCATTCCAGACAAACTGGATGTGTTTTTGGAACTCCCAAGTGTATCTGCTCCAGGCACAAACCGTCTTTCCTTCCTAGAATGCTCTTCCTACTCATCTTTGCTGCTCAGAATACTGATCTTCCTCTGTAAAGTCTTTCCTGACAATATGAGTTCAGTGTTCTCTCATTTTCCCCCCAGTAGAATGTAAGCTCCCTGAGGGCAGGACCCAGTTTGGTTTTTGTCTCTGTAGTCTCAGCTCCTTGCCCCCAGTGTCTGACACATAGTAGGAGCTTAATAATGCTTGTTGACTGGCACTGAGGTCCCAGCTCCTCTGAGCCCTTTTCCCCCTGAGAACTTTCTTGCGGATTGATGCTGAAAGTGCACCCTTCACCCAGGGGACGGGGTTAGTGACATCTACCTCTCCTTGCATTCTTCCTCTCATTGAAATCCCCCCATAACTCCATTCTTCTATGGTAGATCCATCCCTTCACTAAGCTTGCCATCTCCTGTTAACCTGAAACTATTACCTGTGAGGGGAGGGAGGCTGTATACCTGTAAACTGTTCCCTGTGAGGGGAGGGAGGCTGTATACCTGTAGACCGTTCCCTATGAGGGGAGGTGTAGGCCTGGCCTATGGCATCAAAAGTCTGGGGGTCCAGGCTAGGCTCTGTCCCAGGCTTCCTCTGGGACGCTGGACAAATTCTTCACTGGGCTTCTGTTAGGCGGCAGGTGGGTGGATGGTGCTGGGCTGGACAGTCTCTAGGGTGCTGGCTCCAATATCCTGCAGCTTTAGGTTCCGGGGCAGAACCTGCAGCCTCCAGGTCACTTGTGGCCTTCTAGGTTTTTAGCTACTGCCTTTTGACTGAGTCCGAGTTTTACAAAACAAATCCTTTTATTAAGGGGATTTGTTCTGTGAAGGTTGGATTCAGTCAAAGGGTTGAACCTGAGGACCTAGAAGGCCACATGTGGCCTTGGGGCCGTAGGTTCCCCACCCCTGCCGTGTGGGTAAAAGAATCAGTCAGTCATAGGCTGCAGCTCTGGAAGCTACCCTAGATGTCACTGAGTTCAATCTCAGGGGGCAACAAGGTGGTTCAGTGGATACAGCACTGGCCCTGGAGTCAGGAGGAGCTGAGTTCAAATTCTGACCTCAGACACTTACTAGCTATGTGACCCCGAGCAAATCATTTAACCTCAATTGCCTCAAAAAAAAAAAAGCTTTTTTTTTTAAACTATTCCCTGCCTGTGTTGTGTGGTTTAGTGCCCAGAAAGGGTTCCTCACCACAGCTGAAGGACCAAGTGAGTGGGCTCTGGACAGGGATCCATGCCCCAGGCCTTCCTGGGGTCTTTAAGATTGTGGGGAGAGCCATGGTCTCAAAGAACAAAGTCACTGGGAGTCCAGAACTCAAGTGAAGAGATCTTTGTAACTGGGGCTTAGTGCCAGGGACCCTGAAAACAGACTAGACGCACAAGGCAAGAGCAGATTGGCCCAGATTTTTGTCTACTCCCCACCATGTTCTCTCCCTCTCCCAGGCCAGGGAAAACTGAGGCAGAGAAGGAAGTCTTCTTGAGGTCACGCAGTGAAGCAATTCGTGGCAGAGCTGAAGCTAGAAATGGGCCCAGTCCCCTTACCCTCTCCCAGGGCCCTAATACCATCTGGCAGGTCCAGGATTGGGCTGGCCTAGCCCAGGACATGCAGCAGTCCTGAGGGTAGTGGAGATGCCTGCCTCCTCTCCTCCTGGCCTCCATTATCCAGTGTCAACTGAGGGTTCCCACCTCCTCTCTCTTCTACCCTTCTAACCCTGGTGTGTTTGCTCTGGCCAGACACACCCTGCAGGAAGAACTGGGGCATGGCCATATGGAACCTGGTCCTGGGGTTTCCCCCAGCGCCCAGATACTCACCTTAACTCTCATTTCACAGAAAGGAAAATGGAGGTCGAGGGAAGAGCAGAGGGCTGAACCCAGGTCACAAAGGGAGGGTTTGGCTGAGCTGCGAGAGTGGCCCCATTCTTCACTCTCTACTCCCAAACCCCCAGTGCTGAAGCAAAGTGGCTTCCAGCCCAGGGACCAGTAGCTTCCCACCCCAGGTCCCTCATCCCTTCAACTGCTTCTAAGGTGTGAACGCCCCATCCATGTTATGGGAATGTGTCAGACCACCCCCCTCCTCACTTCCTTCTCCCATCTGAACTTTGCTCAGGGCCACTTCCTTCTCTTCCTATTCTCACACAAAACCTGTTTTCCAACAGTTTTCTAGGGAAAACATTCCCTGTGGTATCTACCCCAAAGGGCTGACTAATCGGAAAAAACAGAACAGGTGAGCTTGGATAGCCCCAGCGATGGCTTTGTCCAACCCTCTAATGTTGCAGGGACTTTTAGCTGAGACTAAAGATGTGGAGTGGATTGGGTGTTTGCTCCTGGTCCCTGAGCAGGGGGAACAAGGCTTCCTTGCCCCCAGCCTAAACACCCAAACCAAATATGGGATAGGAGCCTGCTGGCTATTTGACTGATCGATCACAGAGATCCTTCCTTGCTTGTATTTCTATGCCCACCACTTGGCACACAGCGAGCACTTAATAAATGCTTGTGGCCGGCCTGCCTTTCATTACTGTGTAAGGCCACACAGAACACAGAATGTCTTAGGAGGAAGTGAAGACCGTTTCCACCAGGAATTTGTCACCCTCTTTTTCTGTGTCATGGACCCTAATGGCAGTTGGGTGAAGCCTATAGACCCTTATCAGAAGGTTTTTTAAATGCACAAAATAAAATGCATAGAATTACGAAGGAAACCAATTATCCTGAGATGCAATTACCAAAATATTAAAGAAACAAGTCCATCCGACCTCCCCCTCAGGTTAAGAACTGCTGATTGACCTAACAGGGGTGGGGAATCCGCAGTAAGGCCACATGTGGCCTTCTCGATCCTCAGGTGCGGCCTTTTGACTGAGTCCAAGTTTTACAGAACAAATCCTTCTATTAAGGGGATTTGTTCTGCGAAGTTTGGATTCAGTCAAAGGGCCACACTTGAGGACCTAGAGGGCCACATGTAGCCTTGAGGCCAAAGGTTCCTCACCCCTGATCTAGACCAGTCTCTTAACTTAAAGGGTGCAATAACGCCCAGAGAAGACAAATCTACGCCCAATGTACCATCTACCTTTTATAGAATCATAGGATTCAGAGCTAGAAAAGTTCTTAGAGATCATCTAGTCTGACCTACTTTATTATGTTTTATTTTTAGTTACTAAATTTTTTTTCCCAATTATCATATAGTTTTTTCACCCTCATGCCCTTCATGCCCCAGGAAAAAAAAAGGAAAACAAAATCTTTGTAATTAATTACCTCTTTTATTTTACAAAGAAAGAAACTGGGTGGCCCAGAAACTAGTGGACAGAACCTGGGGACTTAGATGCAGTAAGGTCCAAGTTCAAATGCTGTCTCAGGTATGAGACCCTAGATTTATCACCTAACCTCACCTGTGAAATGAGGGCATTAGATTTCATAGCTTCTAAGGTCCCTTTTGGCTCTGAATCTATGATCTCATGGAAACTGAGGCCCAGAGAGAAGAGAATGGATGTGTCCAAGGTTATCCAGGGAATTGTCATCAGAGCCGCCATGCAAACATGAGCTTTCTTAGACCCTGTCTGAAGCTGGGTCCTTGGCTTGGGGTGCATGGAGAAGGGGCTGGAGTCCTCTTGGAATCTAAGGTTGGTCTGGATGGAGGCCATCCTTATCTCTGCTGGTTGCTTGCTCTTCGGTCTTGCCCAGCCCCAGTGACTGGATAAAAGTACTCAGTGCCCTCTGTCCTGATTTTCTTTCTGCACCCTCCTGTCCTTGATCACAATGCTCCTCTTGGTTCTTGGGTTCCTGTGTATACCGGTTACCCATGGTGGTAAGTAGGTGGGTTCCTGTGGTGGTGAGATGTCTGCCTTCCCTTCCTTCTGTTTGTGGGTCTTCCCTTTCTCGGCCCTGGAAGCTTTGGGTCCATGCATGGAGAAGCAAACTTGCCAGAAGTACATTCACAACTTGAATGGCCCATTGAATAACGCAGCCTCCTGTTGCAAAGGAAACTGCTCAGGTATGCTCAGCTTCGAAGGGAGGAGGCACGAGGGAGCACTGGAGTGCCCCCGAGAGGAGCAGGAGCCTCCCCGGGTAGGTATGGAGGCTTTGTTTGACTTTGGAGCTTTCCTCTGTGTTGTCCCAGCTGCTGACCCCGACTCTGAACTGGGCCCTAACTGGAAGCACTGGAGGAACACTCTTAGGTAAAGACCCCTCCGTGTCCCCCTCTAAGCCCTGTTTCTCTCCTGGCGGAACCCACTACCATCCCTGAATCTACATCCACACCTGAGCTCCTGCCCAGACTCTGGACCCTGCAAAGCCTACCTCTACCCTGCTGGGAAGGATACCTGCCTTAGCACCGTGGAGGTCATAGGTGAGTGGCCAAAGCTGCCCCTCTGAGCTCTCTGGGGGGGGGGACGGGACACACAAGCACACTCCCCCATCCAGGGGAGAAACCTGGGCTGGACTGCTCTGCAGGAGGAGAGGTAAGCTGGGGCTACTCCTCAGCAGCAAAAGCCAGTCCTCAGGAGATAGGGGGGAAGGAATAAAGAATCAATTTCAGGCTCATCTCCCCACTCCCCACTGCTGATGGCGTCTCCCACCTGCTGAAGCCAGAGGTGGTCTGCTGCTTTCTCACCCCTTCTGTCCCCCTAAGAGAGTCCCATCCACCTTCAAAGACCTAGAGAGACAGTGACAGAGGCAGAGACAGACAGAGAAAGGCAGAAAAGGAGAGACAGGGAGAAAGAGCCAGAAAGGGAGCGCCAGAGACATATATAGGACCAAAGAGAGACAGAAGCAGACAGGGAGAGACAGAAAGCTACATACATCTGTTAAAGCAGCAGGAGAGAGACAGAGATAAAGGGAAGGAGAGAGAAAGAGAGAGAGGGAGGGAGAGAGAAAGAGAAAGATAGAAAGGAGGACAGAGGAAGGGAGAGGCAGATGTGGAAAAGGAGACAGACAGAGCAGTACGGAGAAAACAGCAAGGAACATGGAGTTTCAAGTCTTGAATTCAAATCTGTGTGACCTTAAGTGAGGTTCTGGGCCTGTCTTCTTATCTGTGTAGCAGTGGCCCTCTCTTTTGTAGAGCATGTGAGCATGGGATCTGGAGTCCCCTGGTTCCCCAGGGGAGTGCCCCTGACTCAGGTCCCAGGGGAACTGAGTTCAAATGTGAGCTCTCTCCCACACCTTTGCTTAGTAACCACAAACATGTGACTTTTTCCTCTGTTGGGTGTCAGTTTCTTTATCTGTAAAACAGTTTGGATTAGATGCCTTCTGAAGTCCTTCCCTGCTCCAAGTCTTGTGATCCTAGAGACACAGAGACACATAGACAGGAAAGAGAGCAGAGGGAAGGGTGGCACACAGTGGGTAGAGCTCCAGCCCTGGAGTCAGGAGGACCTGAGTTCAAATCCGGACTCAGACACTTGACACTACCTGTGTGACCTTGGGCAAGTCACTTAACCCCATTCACTTCACATTAAAAAAAATAAAAGATAGCAGAGGGAAACAGAGTGGGAGAAAGAACCAGACACTCCAGGGCCCAGGGATTCCTCAGGGGCCCCTTTAAGCCGAGGACTGTCTTTGCCCAGAGGGGGTCCATGTACCTGTTTCCTGTCCCAGGAGACACTTCCCCAGAATAAGCCGCAGAAGCCACGGACAGCCAGGGCTGAGAGGAGGAAGAGGAGGCTGCCAAGGGTGATGCAGCAGCATCTGCTGGATGACCCCTTCTTTCTCCTGGTGGGGCCTGAGTTCCGTCCTCTTTGCCTGTTCTCCCACCAAGGTCAAAGGAAGGACCAGTCTATCTCCAGAAGGAATGGCTCCTGTGTGGCACCTGAGGATTGCCAGCCTCGAGTCTATAGCCTGTCCCACGTACCCTATCAGAGCCTTTGGGTCAATGTCACCTGTTGCGGCGGTGGTAACTGCAGTGAGTCCCCCGAGGCAGGTACATCACCAGACAGGCCACGGGTTAGGACAGTGCTGGGTCAGGGAGGGCAGGCTCAGCTGACAGCCCCCTCATTGTCTTGTGCTGCTCTCTGGACCCAAATGCCCACGAGCACCATCCTCCAACGGATGTGTGGAGTGTAAGGGGCTCTGAGAGCATCAAAGTCAGAGACCAACCCTATGGGCTTTGAATGACCCTCTCACTTCCTATTCTCTGGATTCCTCAGTGGCCCTGCCCAAGGGTAGGTTCAGTGATGTCCTGTGTCCCATCTGCTCCCTGTATGACTACTGTTGTGACGAAAGCTTATACCTGTGCTGCTATCAAGGGGAGACCTCCTGTTTACCATGAACCTGGCTCGGCTTAGAGGTAATGGGGGTGGGAGAAAGGGAACCGCTGGCCAAGAGAGCCTGGGAATCGGTGTGGGAAGCCGGGAGCTGCTCATTCTCTGTGGTCTTTGGGCAAGTGGGTCCCAGTCTGCCCATCTTTAAAATGACAGACTTTTTAGGGTCCTGCCTGCCCGGCTCAGGTGTTCTGGAGTCTGGGTTCTGAGGCTGGGGAGAGGGGCCATTTTCTGACCTCTGGGAATGGTGGCGAAGAGGCTCCAAAGCTTCCCTGGATTCATCCTTCCCCAGGGGGTCTGAATGTCACCTTTCAAGGGTGTGGCTCTGAGGCCCTGTGCCACCTGCCTGAGAACCACACCCTCGGTCTCACTGGGAAGCCAAACTGCAGCTCCACTCATCTGACCATGCTGGGCTATGAGTGCCAGCACAGTGGTGCCACTTGCTGGGTCTGCGCTCTCTTCCCAGCCCTGTTGGGGGTGTGGATGGCCGCTGGGCTCCCCTAAGAGCCCACCCCCATTCTGCTGTGCTCCCCACTCATCTTCTCTAGCCAAAGCAGGAAGAATTTTTCTTCTCTCTGATGATGGGAGCCCACCCCAAGTCTGGACTCTTCCAGGGAGCCTCCTTGGCCAAAGCCCAGCCCAGATGACCTCTTGGGCCTCAGAAACCCCAGAACCGGCCCCACAATAGTCAACAACAAATTATACATTAGCTCATTTCCCCAAACGTTCTATGTCTTTTCTTGTATTCTCTCCCATGCTTATCTTGTCCTTTAACACCTAAGTTGGGTCCTCAGCTCTCTGGGAATCCCTCAGTCCCCAGCGGGAAGTCTCCCAGCCTTACCTTGGCTTTCAAGACCTGCCTTGAAGACTGAGGTGATGGGACCTCCCCACGGGTGCTGCTGCTGGAGAGGAAGAGGCAGCTAGGGGAGTCTTGGAGTTCAGGAGCCCCGAGCTGCACTTGGACTAGACTGAGTCCATTTTATGTTCAGAACCTAGTGGTGGAGAGCTGCCGGGCTGCTTAAGGAGGAGTGGCCCAGCCCAAAATTAGAAAAACGGCAATTTGGCATAGGCTGAGCTGCTGGGCTGCTAGGGCCCACGACTGTGCGATCCACCCTACCTCCTGTTCCAGGAAATGTGACAGAGAGCTCTCCTCCTGGAGTTGCCAAAGACCTCGAATGCATTGCATACAGACACAGAATCAAGGCAGGGCTTTGGAGTCAGAGGACCCTGATCGAAATTCTATGCCAGTTCTTCCCCCCCCCCCCACTTCCTAGCTCTGTAACCTTGGACTTAATCTCTCTAGGCTTCAGTTTTCTTGTCTGTCAGATAAGGGTGTCGGGCTTACGACCTCTAAGGGCTCAACACTTCTAAACCTCCAGCGGTGGTCCAATCATCTGCATTCAACAGTTGAGAAAGCAAGGGCCAGAGAAGGGAAGAGATGTGGCAAAGACCACCCAGGGTGATGTTGTTAGAAGAGGCAGAGGGAGAGAAGTGGGGGGGAGAGAGACTGACAGACAGACACATACACACACAAAGACAGAGAGAGAGAAGAGAGAGAGAGAGAGAGAGAGAGAGAGAGAGAGAGAGAGAGAGAGAGAGAGAAGAGAGGAAGAAGGAGGAAGAGGAGGGAGGAGGGAGAGAGAAGGAGGAGGAGGAGAAGGGAGGAGAGAGAGGCAGAGACAGAGACAGAAGGAGGGAGGAAGGAGAGATAGACAGAGAGGAGAAAGGAAGGGGGAGAGAGAAGAAGAGAGAGAGCCAAAGAAAAGGAGACAGACAGATATTCACGTATGGGACTGACTCTACTAGGCCATGGGTTCCCCTAGACTAAACTCCCTAAATACAAAAAGGCTGTGTCTTATTTACCTCAGTTTTCAGTATGGGACCCTGTGAAGTAAATATTTGCTGAAAGAATCAGGGGCCAATAATCACTTGATCCATGGGGGGAACCCATCTCTCCCTTCCCCTCCCCCCTCAGGGTCTACTCTTGAGGTCACCCCAGTGGGCATTGTTGGCCTGGGCCCCTGCTGGTGTTACCTGGCTGGGCGGGGCCAGCCAATCAGCCGCTAGCCCCTGTTATAATGGCCCCTAGCAACGGGGTATGAGTCCAGGCAAACGGGGAGAGACCCTGTGGGCGGGGAGAGTCTGAGGGGTGTGGGAAATTCCTCTGTGAATGTGAGTTGATTTTGGGGGGAACGGTACCCCATGTGGGTGAGATCAGGGCAATCCAGAGGGAAAAAGGGAAGAGAAGTCCCGGGTACATAGAATCTAGGTTCAGTTCCCCTAGTTGCCCTTTGGACCCCCGTAGTCTTTAGCTCAGACACCCAGAACCAGTCACAGAATGGAGGGGAGGAGGGAGCCTTGGGTTTAAGCAGGAGGGGCTACACTACCCAGTTCCTTCAGTTATCCGCCAGACCCTGGAACCTTGGGAGGAGAGGAAAGGTCTGTTCAGTGCCAAAGGGAAGGAGCCCAATTCTGTCTAGCCTTGATGAACCTCCAGAGTCTGCCCCTTGGTTACTCAAGCTAAGAGAATTGTTTGCATTTGGGGACAGAGTCAATCTGGGCCCATCTGCCCAGGCTAAGCTCCATTTTGAGCCGGTGCTAGGTGTCTCAGAGACCCTAGACCCTTCACGAAAGTGAGAGGAGGAGAAATCTGGGGGCTGTGGTCAAGGCTGCATGGATTCTCCCCAGTTTCTTTTACAGACTCTAGCTGTTATGGTCTGACGCTGAATTACCCCAGACCCTGCCCAAAGAGGAGGAAAAAACCCCAGGTGTGGGGGACTTCAGCCCAATTCCTTCTTTTTCCCTATGTCTCTCTATTCAAATATCCCGGACCTCCCCAAGAGGTCATGGATAAGACAGGCTTGGAGTGTGGGAAGGGGCTCCTGTGAGGTTACCACCTGAATACCCCAGAGCTCTTTGTGGAAGAATGGATCCCAGGTGCAGCAATTCAGAGTATCTTGTCTCATAGGCACTATGGACTGTTTATTCAAGAACATTCAGAACTTTTCATGGTGAAGAGGGGAGGGAAGGCGGTAGCTGTGTTGGGGTTGGGGGGTAATGGGCCCAATTTTCCAGGCTCAGCCCCTGAAGGATCTCAGATGAGCAGGGCATGTGAAGTGGGCAGAGAAGAGAAATGATGGGATTCTACTGACTGCCCTATGACCTGTAGTTTGCTGCTTGGACACCTCCCAGGGTCTCCATGTCTCCATGGACCAGAGGAGGGAAAAGAGGTCCTGGGATTGGGGTCCCATTCCTTAATTTCCATATAGATTACAATCATACTAAAAAAAAACCCTGTACAATCCACGGGGCTGAAGGGAAGAAGTCTCTCTATGTGTGTGTTGTGGGTAGAGAGGAGGAAATGGGGCATGGACCTAATTACCTACTTTTCCTGTAGACTCTAACAGGCTCTGTCACTCATGTATCCTGCGCTTACAGGGGAGAAATGAATCGGATTTCCCCAGTTTCTCCACATTCTACTGTTTATGTACCTCATCCCACCTCAGATCCCCTGTTCTTCTCCCTCCTTGGGACCCCAAGATAGTACAGAAAAGAGAAAAATGAAAGGGGTCTCAGAAAGAGAAGACTGGTTTAGGATGGGGAGATCCAGTGGGTGGGCCATTTCAGGGAGCCCTTCCTCCCCTTGGTAATAAAGGATGAAACTGGGAGGCAGGACCACAGGCTCATAGTCCTCTAGGGGTGGAAGGGACCTTAGTCTGACCCCTAACATTTTACAGACAAAGCAACTGGGGCCCAGAGGATGAGGTTGTTGGAAGCCGTGGGTCTGGTGCCTCCAACTCCACATGTCCTATCACTGGTGCCATGTCGGGTTAAGACAAAGGTCCCTTCTAGCTCTAAATGTCCTATGACCTAAATGAGAGGCTGTGGAGGGGAGAGGAAAGACAGCAGATTTGGAGTCAAAAGGCTACTTCCTACATCTCGTAACCGCCACCTCCTGATGTGGCCTCAGTTTCCTTCCCTGTAAAATGAGGAGACTGGATGAAGTTGATCCTCACCACCCTTCCCCAGTCTTAAGTCTGGGGCCAGCTCTCCTACTAATTTACTATGTGACCTTGGGCAAGTAAGTCACTTTGCTACTCTGGGCCCTACTTTACCTATCGATGAGATGGGGATAAGAATCCCTGCTTCCCTCACAAAGATGTTAGGAAGCTTGAATGAGATAAGGATGGGGAAAAGCCTTCAGAAAACATAAGTATAAGGAGGTACCATCACACTATATTAGTAAAAAAACAGACTGAAGTATAGTGGGATGGGGTGGGGTATGGAGAAAGCAAAATGGAGGAGAGAGGAGGGAAACAGAGTCACAGAGTCGGAAAATGTCAGAGCTGGGAGGCCTTTCAGGACCACTGAGGCCAACCTCCTTATTTGGCAGTAGGTCTAGAAAGGGGTCAGGATACTTGCCCAAGAGGTTGGGTCAGGTGTGAGTCAAGGACCCAGAAGTCCACAAGTGATCCTCACTCCCAGTCTGGGGCTTCCAAGGCTACATCCTGTAGCCGGGTTAATGGGAGGGAACAGGCAGTTTGCCGGGGCTGTTGGGATGGGCTGCCTTTACAGCTAACTGTCTGCCTCTGTTTCTCTGCCCCCTCTCCTCCCCTCCCCCTCTCTCCCTGGCTTGGTCTCAGGGCCTAGGTGGTGTGAGCAGCCTGCCCCCTACCCCAAGGAGCACACGCATCGAGACTCCCCCACTCCCCCCCCCCACTCTCCCCAGGGGCGCAATGGCGTCCAAGTCACATGCCCCCCGGCCTGAGGAGGAGAGCACCATCCTCATGGCTAAGGAGGAGCTTGAGGCTCTTCGGACAGCCTTCGAGCTGGGGGATATCCCCAAGGCTGCCTCCCGCCTCCGCGAGCTTCTGGGCTCCGCCGAGAGCAGCCGTCTTGAGGTGGGCGTGACCGGCGAGTCCGGGGCCGGCAAATCTTCCTTGATCAACGCCCTTCGAGGGATCGGGGCGGAGGACCCTGGTGCGGCCCGGACAGGCGTCATCGAGACCACAACCCAGCCCACCCCGTACCCCCACCCTCAGCTGCCCGAGCTCATGCTGTGGGACCTGCCAGGGGCTGGCTCGCCCGGCTGCCCAGCTGACAAGTACCTGAAGCAAGTAGACTTTGCTCGCTACAATTTCTTCCTCCTGGTCTCACCCCGCCGCTGTGGGGCCGTGGAGACTCGGCTGGCCACTGAGATCCTCCGCCAGGGCAAGAAATTCTACTTTATCCGCACCAAGGTGGATGAGGACCTGGCGGCTTCTCGCACCCAGCGCCCATCCGGCTACAGCGAGAACGCCGTCTTGCAGGAGATCCGAGACCACTGTGCGGAACGTCTCCGTGCTGCCGGCGTCCAGGACCCCCGGATCTTCCTCGTGTCCAATCTCTCGCCGGCCCGTTACGATTTCCCTCTGCTCGTGGCCACCTGGGAGCGGGAACTACCGGCCCACCGCCGCCACGCTGGCCTCCTGTCCTTACCGGACATTTCACTGCAAGCCTTGCAAAAGAAGAAAGACGCCCTGCAGGAACAGGTGCTGAAGACAGCCTTGGTGTCTGGGGTCATCCAGGCTGCCTGTGCCTGGGCTCGCAGCCGCTTACGATGACGCCCTCCTGATCCGCTCCCTGCGGGGCTACCACCGCAGCTTTGGCCTGGATGACGACTCCCTGGCCAGGCTGGCCGAGCAGGTGGGCAAGCAGGCTGGCGACCTGCGCTCTGTGATCCGCTCGCCCCTGGCCACTGAGGTCTCGCCGGAGGCGGTGCTGCGCATGTACGCCCAATCGTCGGACGGGGCCATGCGTGTGGCTCGCGCCTTCGAGAAGGGCATCCCCGTGTTCGGGACGCTGGTGGCCGGTGGCATCTCCTTTGGGACCGTCTACACCATGCTACAGGGCTGCCTCAATGAGATGGCCGAGGACGCCCAGCGTGTCCGGATCAAAGCCCTGGAAGAGGAGGCCACCTCCTCCGGCTCTGATGCCCGCCTCGACGTCGCCAGCGGGCCCGGGTTGGAGAAGAGGGGGGCAGGCGAGGGCGGCGGGGAGGATCCTCCAATCTCAGCACGCCGGAAGCTTGGACTGCTACTCAAGTACATTCTGGAGAGCTGGAAGAAACGGGATGCGGTCGAAGAGAAATAAAGACGACCACCTCTCCCCCAACGACAAAAAAAACCCCTCCTGACCACTCCACCCCACCATCCCCCATTCCTACTCCCCCACCTCTGTCCCCTGTCCCTACCAAAAAAAAATTCACGTGAAGAAACCAATGGGTTGGGAGACTCGGACTACTTCCAGATCGGCCTAGGGCACAACGGGGGGTGGTGGGGGGATGGGGCTGCCTTCAAGTGTCTGACAGGTAGGGGTGGAGGAGAACGGAAGAGACCCATTTAAGGGCTGATTTCTCCTTCCCTATCCCACAGGCACGTCATCCTTGGGAGGAAGGGGCACTGGGGAGACAGGATTCTGCGGGGGAGGACCCATGAGTGGGGAGAACAGAATAAGTGTGAATGAGAGGGCATAGAACAGGGAAGCCTGCGGAAAGTATCCACTGCTCCCTTTGTGGGGATCTTCCCCCTGTCTTCTCTTCCCATTCTGGACCTTGAAAGGTCCTTTGATGGCAATCCCCTGGCTCCGCGCCAACACCCTGTCCCTTTACTCGAAAATGCCCCACCCCCTGAGGAGCTGGCCAATCAGCATTCAGATCTCATTACAATGGGCCCTAGCAACAGGTCTGGCCAGGGAGCCAGTGGAGTTGGTGGGGGATGGGGTACCAGGGTCCTGGAAGAGGAGGCAGAAAGGGGCCAGGGCCGAAGCAAGGCCCTGCTAAACGTGAGTTAGGGTGGAGGGTGGTAAGGCAGGATCACCCTCCCCTTCCCCCTCCCCTCAACACTCACCTGTTGGAAGATAAGGAGAGATGAGTTTCAGCCCCTAAAAACACCTACTCAGCTCAACCCAACCCAATTCACCCCAACCCAACTTGGCTTGGCCCTACCCTCATGTTCCATTCCTGCACAGGGCAACTCTG